AATCTTATTTAGTCCAATCACGATAGGCAAGGGCCCAATTCATCCGTTTTTAGGGTTCCGTAGTCAACTAGGAACCCTTATAGTTTCGCCATGTTTGTCTGTGCGTCTGTCCGTCCTCGCTTAATCTCTGTGACTGTTAGCATTAGAAAGCTGAAATTTGGTACCAATATGTGTATCAATCACGCCGACAAAGTGGTAAAATAAAAATTGGGAAAAAAATGTTTTATTAGGGTAGCTCCCCTATATGTAAAGTGAGAAGTGATTTTTTTTAATTTCAACCCTAACGTGTGATATATTGTTGGAAAGGTATTTAAAAATGAATAGGGGTTTACTTAAATCATTTTTTGATAATGTCAATAATTTCGGAAACAATCGCTCCAAAAGTAAAAAACAATGTGTGTCCCCCTCTAACTTTTGAACCATAAGCTTAGAAAATATGAAAAAAATTTGTAAAGTAGAACTTTATAAGGACTTTCTAGGAAAATCATTTTGAACTTGAATGGAAACAGTTTTTGTACAAAAAAGACAAAAAGTTGTACAAAATAACTATAATGGTAAAATATGTATATCGAACACGACGTTTTCCCATATGGACTCCATCATACACTATGACATATTGTCTACTGCCGCTACTATTTTCGATAAAATCTTTTCGACGGTATACCTGGGAAAAGCATGGCCGTGTGAACGTGGCCTAAGGGGCCACTATCAAATAATTAAACAATAGTACCATTTCATTTACACCAGACGTAAAATACCCAAATCGACCCATCCCTCTAAAGTGTCCAATTGTGGCGGTTACACAATATAAGATACTCAGCCGTCCACTTTTTCTAAAAATAGAATAAGGGTGACAAACGAGCACACAGTCCACGTGACGTGAAGTGGATTATGTGGCCTATATTTTCGTTCAAGTATCAAAATGCAGATGCGTTGTCACCCCATTGGATTAAGATGAAATTTCTTGTTTACAGTATAAAAGCTTTTGGTTCTCTACACTCATCATATGCAGTATTAAGCTGCAATTTTACGCTCGCATTTTGTGGGAGCATGGTCCTATCCCGGTTGAGCCGACCCATTCGTGCTACAACTATAATATAGCTTCTGCATGTCTAAGGCTGGCTTTATCATTTAAAACATGCTTTCACGGCATGCGGTGAAACACCACTAACTTACTGCTGTCGGGCTGCTACCGTGAATTTCGTAACTGAAGAACTATTATCCTTCATTATTCCTTAGTAGAATGGAGGTCTAATGAGCCTATAAAAAATAAATGAAGAAAAAAAATTATATAGCGTAACATAATTACTTTACTATTATAATAGTACTTTACTTACGAGGTTTATGATGAAAAAGCGAAATATGCAGAACTACGGCACACATTTTCTTAACAAGTTGTATGCTTTGCAATTTCTCCCTCAAATATTCAATAGAAAATATCTTTGACGATATTTATACTCTGTTTGAGCTCCGTAAGTGTTTACTGAAAGCGCGCTGCGTGTTTTTATTAACCCGGCAGCACTCGGCATAGGGTCGATGCGCCGGTAAGCCGGCCGAGTCTAGATTTCGGCCTTTGGCTCGAGATGATGCAGTAAATTTGATTTAATAACGGTTTTAATAAATATTATCGTACGAAATGAAGTTTAATGCACTTGTAAATAGTTGCACTATATATGGTAACATTAACTAATCAGGTAAACACAAATCGGACAAAAAAAATAGTGGCGCGCGTTCCATTCAAAAGTTTCGTGCTGTATTTACTATGATTATTTAATATTGTGCTTAAATTTCACTTTATAAATAACCGAATACAATTATTTGAAATTGTTTATTATAATACTTTATTAATAAAGTTAATAAACTAAGTGGCCGAAAAGTGACACATAAAATTGTCTTATTATTTGGTTGTCGGCCATGCGGCCGAAAAGTAGCCTGAGTTTAGCCTAAATACTTTTTCTCTTTCGTTTATTTGGTTACGTACTATAATTCATCTTTTTACTTATATTGAATCGTAGCGTGCGTAGACACTAACTTTCAGTTTTCGGCCACTAAATACTGAAATTTGAACAGTTGCAAAAAATATTTCAGTCGTGGCCGAAAACTGGATTGACTCTAAAATATTTATTTAAATTTCGGCCAACTTAAAATTGTATGAAAGAATACGACGGCGGAAATTAGTTTACGTTTACGGCCATTTCATCAAATATTTTATTCACATTGCGTTTTAGGAAGAAGATTCAACAAGAATTTTTTTTCTTCAGATGGCTCCTCCGAAGAAATATAAAAAGTAAATGGCTTCCGAAAATGCGGACTTTATTATATAGATCTCAATGCAGTGGATTACTCAAATTGAGTCCAGCAAACCCTGGAAAGACTAATCGGTGATAATTGAAAGAAAGAATAAATATTTCTAAAGAAATAACTAACGCAGACGTAGTTTCCACTAGAAAAGTTTAAAAACATTTTAATTCAACTTTGGCAGAAAAAAAAACATAAAGTTTGCTATTATAGTGAAATAGATAAGGAAATTGAAACGAAAGTCTTCTCAGATCAATATTGTTCCACACAGACAGGCCAACGAAGACTTGAAAATTCTCCAATCAAGCTATATAAAACCACTGAATTTATTTAAGTCTCCAGAAAGTCTGTGCAACACAGATCAAGATAAAAATATTCTAACTCACGATGTTGTGTTAACTATTTATTCATCTACCGATGCATCAGAATCGTTTTTCAACATTGCGTTTGTCAGGAAGTTATTTGGATATTGGTTCCTAAGTATCGTTATATGATGTTCTTGTAATCCAAACTCAAATAAGCCTACCAACGACAACAGTACTGACAATGCCTGAAATGATAATAGATTTCAGTAATGAAACAATAACGAATCAAATCACCACGATGATACCACTACAAACACCGACGATAACAAACAAGATCTCTGAAACTTTAGAAAATGTGTGGGTTTATATTCCAACTAAACAGACTAGTACACCTCTACAAACTAGTGGAACATTGGTTTCAGTACTATTAAATAAAGAATATAGAGATGCAATAGAAAAAAAATTTATTCAAACGTAACAGGTAAAAAAAAATTACTGCTTACAGTACACGTGCACCTTTTTCCGCAGCAATTTCATCTGTGGCGAAAATTCAGGTGCTGCGAAAATTTTATGAAGATAGGTAAAAGTTAAAATACAGAAGTAAGAACTAAAATATTTTGAGAAAGAAAAAAATAGAAAAAGAAAAATTAAAATACGAGTACGAAATAACAAATACAAATACGAAAAATAGCTAATTCGAAGAAATCTATGAAGGAGAATAGGGTAAGAGTAAATTGCGCTTTCTGTCATAAATCATAATATTTTAATAAACGATACAGAAGAAGATCTGGGAAAAATATTGGATGTGATATGAAAAAATAAATTAAAATTAAACGCGATAAAATCCGTAAAAGTAGTTTTAATCAATGTGTAGTGTTCGTGTAAATATAAGAAATCATTATATTGGATCTGACTTTTACACCAAATGGATTTGAGATGTACTGATGGTTAGAAATGGTAACAGATTTTGTTGAACAAAAATACTTATGAGGAAGTACAAAATACTCGTAAATGAGAAGTTTCGATTGATATGCTATATTTAAAAGATTTTATTATTAGATTATGATACAAAGAAAAATGATTAATCATGGTTATTATTTTATATCAAAACCACCCCCAAAATGAAAAAAATAACGTTACGGTTAAAAAAATCGCAAGCATCGAATGTAAAAACTAAATACACCGATTTCCCAAAACCTTTTGCCATTTTCTGATTTTACAAAAACACTTTTACGTTTGTACTACCTCTTCTAATACAGTGGCCGAAAACTAAAATTCTTGTGGGCCGAAATCCAAAATTTGGGGCCGAAAACTAGCGTTTTGCATATTTTTAACATCAAAAATTATTATAAAAAAATAGATTTCTTTTGTAGCATCAATGAGTAATAAAAATTAAAACTACATTGTATAAGCTATAAATTAACATTAACAGCACTAGGTCAATATAATGGCTATTATTTTTTATTGTACCTTAAAGTTGACAACTCCACTAAAAGGCCGAAAACCAGCGCATCGACCCTGCAATACTCAGGTAACAAACATTACAGAGTAAGTCTGAGGGTGTATCAGCAGATGAATCAACATCTGCTTTCTGTTCTTCTTTTGTTCAATATACTCTTCGTCCACGTTTTATAAAAATACTGTGTATTTATGAAGTTCATGTAACGTAACTTGATTTAATGACAAAATTCTTAAAGCGTCGAAATCACTCGGCTTTGGTCGGTGATTAGCTAGTCTTCCATACAATGATACACTCTATATAGCATTACACCCACTCTCAATAACGACAGCAATTAAATAATAAAAAGTACTTTTAAGTTGCAAAACATAGTAAAAACTACACAGCTCTGTACGTTTTTTTGTTGCTTTATTATCCTAGCCCGTAAAAAACTCGACTGTCGGCATCATACATACCAAACGGTCTAAGCAATCCTTTGTTTTGTTTAGAAATAGGAATTGCTTGCACATACAGACTTTTGATAGTAGGAGTCACGCACTATATATGCATTATCATATTCTTAGTGCCGATTTCACCAACGACGTCGTTGTCTAAGATTAACTAACCCGAGAATAAAGATATTCCGTACTTTTTCTCTCGGATAACTTACTGTACATTTCACCATACAAAACAACAGATTAGTTAGCCTCAGATTAACTATTCTTTCGAATAATGGTTTTACTTATCTGTGGAAGACTATTTGAGTGAGCAATAGAACGATTGTGTAAAGAAAACAAATTAAGTATGTCATTGCTTTCCTTCTCGGCGAGGTACACAACAAACTTTTTAATTTAGCAGGGTTATACGTCAGTTTGAAGCAGATTCATTTTCATCAACTGTTGATACACGTTGTATTTTTCCTGGCTTTTTTGTTATTTCAATATCAATTTTAATTAATAATGTCGGACAGTAAACGCAGTCCTAACTCGCAAATGTCAAAAAAGATGTTGCTTGTGGATTTAGTGGCTGAACATTTCAGTGTAGTAGAAAATAATCGTACCGATGCTGTTACTATGAAACAGAAAAATGCGAAGTGGGTAAAAATTTCGGAAGAATTTAATTCTCAAACCACTTTTAGATATAGGACTGCAGAAAACGTAAAAGCACAGTGGGAAAGTCTAAAAAAATCCACCAAAAAAGAATCGTCTGCTGAAAGGCAAAGCTTGATTCAAACAGGTAATAATCTTCATTTCTATGTGCTACTTACGAAGCTAAAGCTGTAATTATTTATACCATATTAACACCTATGGAATTTTTTGTGACATCCTTGACATTACTTTGTGTTTTTTTTATCTCTAATGTTTAATATTTTGTTCAGGTGGTGGACCTGCAAAGCCTAAGCTTGAGGACAACCCACTATCTTACTTTTCTTTAGCAAAATCTTGGCTTTGATATCTACGACGTAGTTGGACTAGTAAATGAATATGACAGTGATAATTTGAGCAATAATCATGTTATCATTGAAGAGATTCCTAGCAACACATTGGCTTCCACTAAAGGTACACACAATTCGATATCTTGTTATAATTGTTGATGATAAGCTTAATTGGGCTCCACATATTTCTATTTCTAACAAAATCAGAAAGTTTATCTATATCTTTAACAATTTAAATACAGTTGCAAACAGAAATCTATTACTACAAACGTTCAAAGTGTTGTGCCAGAGCGTTATCTTATTGCATATGTTCTTGGGGATGTGCTGCTAAAACACATCTTATAGAATTAGAGCGAGCTCAAAGGGCTGTACTAAAAGTAATACTATCGCTTCTTTATAGATATTCGACAGAAATGGTATATAAGTTACCTGAAGTACTAAGTGTTCGCAAATTATTTATATATCAATATCTTAGACGCTTTCATAGATGTAGTGTTCCGCAAATACAAAATTCAAAAAGAACTGTACGTATAAGTATCCCCAAAGTATGTATATTCGGCAAAAGGAATTATAATTACGTATCTCCCAAGTTATACAATATACTAAATAAAACAGTGTGAACAAAAAAGCTTCAAATTACACATTTAAAAGAATGTTATATAACTGGCTTAAAGAATGTGACTATCATAAATGCGAAAATTTAATAGCTCTATATGAATAACTATATGTGCAGTGCAACAAACACGCTACTTACACACACATACACACATGTATATAGTGTTAACTGAGTATTAAATATATATCAAAATTTCTCTAATATACTTTTGACAAAAAGAGTTACTGAATGGGAAGTAGCTGACTCTTGAAATACAGGGTATCCTAGTTTGGGAGTCAGGGTTCAATGATGTTGTATAAAATTATAAGTGCAAATGAAGGAATTATTATCCTTATTATTATTAAAGTTACACAATTTTTGACTGTCTTTGACTTAACAGCATCACTTAAGTGATATCTCTAAATTTTATTTAATAAATAATGTTATTTTATCAATAATGTGTTTTTTTCCAGTTCCAGATGTAACAGACATATTTGTTCCTGCTCCTATATATTCTAAGTCCATGACCATGCCTTTGTCAATGGATATAGATACAAGCGGATAAAATCATGATAAATCACAAGGAGACACAGCTGTATGTATCCTAAAAATTAATATTAAAATAGTATTCTAAAGTATTTCTTCTAAATTTTTATTTAGTTACATAACCCATTAAAAGTCTATTCAATAAGTTAGTACTTTTGTGAAAACATTTCAAAATTATTTTTTTTGAAGGATTGGGGAGACTACACTACAAAACTGCTGCAAACTCCAAAATCTGCACCTGAGTGAGTAAGAGAGAAGAGGATGTAGGGACTTCTCCTACTCAAAGTAAAAGTTGGAGTTGCAACCACAGACCGGCTCTACCATCTTCATCATTAGAAGAATACCAAAAAACAAAACAAAAAGCTACCGAAATGCAGATGAATTTTGCTGCTGAAGAGAGGGAAGACACAAGAAAAATTTTTGAGATAGACATTAAAATCAAAAATGAAGTTTTAAAGCAGGAGAAAATTAAAACTAAGTTATTATTATCACAATTAAGGCGGAGAAAACAAAAAAAAATTAAGACTATGACTTAATAAAAAACATGGTTTCATTATTTAACTTTTTTCTCACAATAAACTATATAAGATTCCTAAAGTGATTGTTTATTAGGAGTTCTCTGGCTCTATTTTGCTGAGGAGTACTTGATTGTTCACACCTTATTTGTCCATTTTGTAAGAGCGCCTCCCAAGTTGCTGGAAGGAGCAAATCTGGATCATTAGGTGGAACTGTTTCTCCTCGTTGACGCAATATGTTATGCAGCACAGCAGTTGCCATAATTATAACCAAAGCTTTGTCTAACTTAACTCGTAGTCCTAAAGCTAGTAGTGGAAATCTTCATTTCCAAACCCCATAAGACCTTTCAACAGTATTTCTTGTCCTAATCTGTGACTCTTTGTACAGTTGCTCTACTGCTGTTCCAGGATTCTCTGGTGGGGGCATAGCAGCATATCCACCATCTACAAGTAGAATTCCTTCACCATAATCACCAGCTTCAAATTTTGATTTACGGCAGCAATTATTAAATATAGTACTGTCATGTGCTGACCCAGGCCATCCTGCGACAATATCGATAATTTTTCAAATTTGCATAACATATAGTCTGGACATTAATAGAAAAATAGCCTTTTCGGTTTCTAAACAGTTATGCCTGATCCCCCCCCGGTTGAAGAAATTCTGACATGTGTGCAGTCCATTGCCCCTATAACTCTAGGGAATCTTGCTATACCATAAAACTCCCTTTGATTTCGCCGAATTTCCTATTGAGTATTCGGAAATTTTAGAGTGTCGGTATATAGAGTTTACGATGTATTAATATTTAGTTTTATTGCTAATGAATTAAGTCTATTTTTGATATTAATGTCAATTTTGAATGGTTCCTAGAAACAAAAAATCATTATGTTGATTTTTATAGAAGTATAAATATTTATTTTCTCTTTTTGTTACTTTTCTATGATAGGCCCTCATTTTTGGATATATATGCATTATAACTTGAATTCGTCGTTTTATTTATTGATAATAACAATATAAAAGTTATACCATCCTTAATAATATAAAATTTATATTATGTCTTAGATTCCATTCCATTCAAGTACTGTGGTAATTTATAACCCGTAATGAGAATTCGTGTCTATAAATGCCTAGCGAGTACCGCCGGGTTAAATGAAACAATTTACAGCCTGACTTTCTTGTTTGTATCGTGATGTCATTCAATATAATTTGCCTAGGTTTTATAATCCAATTCACTGCCAAGCCTGGCTATATTAATCCTTCCTTTTCATAACAAGCCATGATATATTTTATTTTTTGAGACACAAACAGATTGAAGACATATAAGTATGTGGCGGCGTCACAAGCGAAACACATCGAAATCGCGCTATCAAAGTTTCAAAGTGAAAACACGTATACATAGAATAGCTCCGAACTAACTTAAGTACTGTGAAGCTGTAAGAACCGCACAGGCTAACAGCACCAACATTATCGGAACCGGAGCTCCGAACTATCACACTGAGCGTTGGCCGCTCCCCGCACAGAACACCTTGCCCGGCGGGAGCTCCCCCTTTTCCTTCCACGACCACAAGTAACACAGTTATAGGAACAAATGTTATCGTAACTATTCTATAATTTAATAGAGTGTGCCCAATAAAACAAATAATGACAAAAATGATTTTATCAGTCGAAAAACCCCTCTTTGTGAACCCGTCTGGTAGTATAGTGTGTTGGTTCGGAAACGTTTCCTCGATCCCCGCAATAATCGTGCGAATTATTAATAAGGTGAGAAAAATGTCAAAAAAAACGTACAACCAAACTTCAAATATGTATTCATATATGTAGGGAGGCCACGAACGCTATATCTATTTTGTTTTATTTAACTTAAAATAATCAAATTAAACGCGATAAAATCCTTATAATTTGTTTTATCCAATGTGTAGCAATAGCGTAAGTTTAAGAATTATTATTGACAACGTGTTCAAAACAGCAAATTATTCAAACAAAATTAGCGTATATAGAGTGCAATAAATACACCGTGTAGACAGTTTTATAGCCTGCTGTAAAGAAGTGGGTAAGACATTAAAAGCTTTGCTAAATTAAAAGTCGCCCTATTAGCATAAATCAGTGCGATGTTCATTTACGTGTCGCATTTGCGTTTCCGATCCGTTTTGGCGTCGTTACGCATAGGAAGAAAAGAGATAGTTATATCTTTGCGTACCTCTCTTTAATACTGAACTCTCCCCTAATATTTCCATAACATTTGAGAAATTAATATTTTGCTTTTAAGGCTAATATGGCTTGAAGCCTTGTTTACATTTTAAATGGGTATATTATAAACATTCTGGAAATTTCGGATATCGTGTACTAATTGTAGAGCAAATTTATTATACTTGTGTATGAAGAGTGAGTGTGTATGTTGTTCAAAGGCCAAACAAAACATCTAACGGTTTGTTCCCCCGTATTAATTACACTTCCTTTCACAATTATTCATTGTAAGTTACAAACAATAAATATAATATATGTAAGAATGCAAGTATGCAAAGAAGAAGAGTGAACGGCCATAAAGTTCGGAAATAGATAAATTATAAATATTATGTAATAAACTTAAATGAAAAAATATGTTGAGGTTCGCAACATAATATATGAAGAAAAACATTTCATCGTGAGAAAACCTGCACGCTAGAGGAAAATAAATGTTCAAGGAAGTAAATATTCCATAATCCTCCCTCAATCCAGTGGGACGTATATAGACTCCGAATTTACTTTTTTCTTGTATAATCCAAAAATAATCCAGTCAACCAAATGGTAAGTGGACGCGGTGGCCCAACTCAATTAAGAATCGAAATTTAGATACGTTATCAACCGCGAAGACTAAGATGGATTGCCTCGTATTCAATAAATAGGGTTTCTGCTTTAATACAGCAGCGTTAAGCTGCTATATAAGGTCGGTACTCTGCGAGAGCACGGTGCTTCCCCGGTTAACCCATACGCGCTATAACCATAATATAGCTGCAGTATGACTTTACTATTCTTAAGTTATCTTACTTTTTATAATAAATGTAAATATCTACAGATTAATAATAGTGTTATATCAGAGTTCTATAGACAATTATGGTCTATTTACCTCAGTTGGGTAGACATCTTACAGTTAGCTAACTTTTTTCTAATTCGAATAACTTTTATCTAGTTGTATAGAAATCACGTAAATGTGAACTGATCTAAACCCAAGTGAAGTTACAAGACTTGTGATTGAGTAAAGTACTTCGCTTAAGGTTGAATTTCTTTGTTCGTTATTTTAGGGCTCGTATAATTTGATAGTCCTTTGTTAGTCTTACTTGAGTGTTTAACTATTCAGATATTGGTATTAGAAAAGGAAATTTCTAA